ATTTTCCTCTTTTGATCATTTAGGTAAAATCTTATCAAATTTTGTCATATGACTTACAGGTAACCAAAGTTTATGGTAAAAAATCTCACTTTATATGAGAGTGTGTCATGTAAGTGGACTTTTTGCCCATAAGCTTTGGTGTCTCGCAAGTTATGTGACAAAATTCAGTGGGATTTCACTGGATCATCGAAATGACGAAAAGTAGGGAAGAAACAAAAGTCATGCACTTTGATAATTTTCATTGTTGTGCACCAATAATAGGAATGTCACCAAGCCCTTTGATAATTTTCATTGTTGTGCACCAATAATAGGAATGTCACCAAGCCCATGAAACGAAAAGTGACGATAACTCTTTTAAAGCAGTCATCCTAAATTATTGGTTAAACACTCCTACAATTGTTCATTTGTTTGATCCTTAATTAATCATACCCCTGGACAGGCTGGTAGAGATACAAGGCCCCTCCACCTTGCAGCAAAACTCATAATAAATTCTCAGATGGAAAATGGTGACTTCCCCCAACAGGTAAAACTAGAAAAACAAAACCTGTAATATCAATACCTGCAGTGGATGTATGTGTTCAAGTAGCAAACAGTTGAAAAATATATTCCGTCTCAACTAAAATTATAAGCTGATAGTGAGACTACATATTTATATTCTATATATAGCATTACTAGCTATGATCTAACATTCACCTTTTAACGTGGTAGGAAATTACGGGAGTTTTCATGAAGAATTGCATGTTGCACTACTCGGCGTACAGAAACATATATCCGTTGTGGGGTTTGGCAGAGTATCGAAAGAGGGTGTTGTTGTCATCTAAGAAGGTCTAGGACCATGTTGGATTCAACCTTCTTTGGCAGCTAATTAAAGTGAAAAGGGAGAATCTTTATCGAGTTGATTCAAGTTTTAGCATTATGAGAGTGGATAAGTTTATTTGTTTCTTAGCTTATAATGGATATAAAATGCTGTCTAATTGCAATGAAAAAGGTTGAAGATAAGATAAATGTGTGTATACAATATAGCTTAGTGATTACTCGCATTTCAACAGGTAAAACACTACATGCTTGGCACAAAAGAGAGCATTTTAGCAATTGATTTTATAGCCTCAAAAAGGATAAAAATATATTTATACTTGTCTAAATCTATATACTTTTGTATATGAAATAAAAAGTTTCCCGTAAAATTTGAATCCATCCTAACCTAACTCAAATTGATGGTAAACTTCACCCAAAAAAAAAAAAGAAAAAAAAACCCCTCAAAATGGCTATGTTAGGGTAATTCCTACCTATCCTTGATAGTTCGACAGTCTAGAATGCAATTGGATTAACCTCGGAACAATAAACATAAGCCATGAGGAATAATTGACCAAGTTGGAAGCTTGCTAGACCTACCTATCACCCCCAACGATCATGATGAAATCATAAGTGGTTATATGTTAGGAATATATTTGAGTTCTTGTTGGACTCTTTCAGGGTATGATGTGAGCTTATTTGTGCATGATTCTATTGCTAATTTGAATATACTTTTAGTTCTTAAGTTCGTTAAATTGACACTTTCAGTGCATATTCCCTTGCTTTCTCATGAAGATATGGTTTAATGCTTATTTTGAATGTTTTACGGTGTTTGTTAGTGTTTTGAAACCATTGTAGTGTAAATGCAAAAGCAAGGGAAGTCTTTAAAGCATGCTTGGAGTAAAAACAAAGTTGGGGTGCTGATACAGGAGATTCGACGCGTCGAGAATCAGACTCGACGCGTCCAAAATTTCCAGAAACAAGAGCCGTGTGATAGTCGAAGACTCGACGCGTCGAGAAATTCCAGCAAATCGTTCCTGAGCACCCATCGAAGACTTGACACGTCGAGAAATTTCAAAACATCTCGATTTTGCGGAGCTGAAGACTCGACGCGTCGAGAGGTCATCCCGGGACAGAATTGCATATGTGCAACAACTTCCTAATTTGCTCTTATTTGGCCTCAACTATAAAGGCTCTGAGCAGGGCCAGCCCTGGACATGTTTGCCCGGGTCTTTGCACAGGGCTCCCATATTATTAAAAAAAAAATAGTATATACATAATGGAAGTGGATGAGCAGCATTAGTATTACACATCCTCTTGTCCTTTTTCATTCAGTGTAACCCTACGGCGCTATAAGTAAATAAAACATTACGCAGCTTATTTACACGAATAAAACATTACGCAGCTTATTTACGCATTAGTATATACGTAATGTTTTATTTACGGCTCAAGTTCTTCAATTCTTAACAGGTAATTAAAATTACTAAATATTTCACAATTTTTGTTTATTGTTTTATTTACATGACTTAACAATTTTTTATTTCAAACTAATATATTCAAGAATTTGTTTTTTGATTAATTATTTATTCATAGAGTTTCTAAATAAATTTTTATTTTTTTCATTAGGATTTTATAATTATATCTTCTAGAAAATATTCATCTGTGTTTGAGAAGCGTAAAAAATAAATAAAAAATAAAAAAATAAAAATTGAGCAAATAACTCTATCTCTAAAGGGAGCTCTTGAAAAATTCATTACAAAAGAAACTCAAATAGATGTGCAAAAAGATGGTGCCAAGGAGATATTGTTAGATGCTAATCTTGATATAGAAGATCAAGATGCTTGTTGGATTGGAAAAGAATTTAAATGATAGTGTGCACAACGATGATAGGTATCACTTTGACAATGAAAATAATAAACATGTTGATAGTTGTTTAGATTATGTTGGTCACAATGATAAACCAAATGATTTGCTTTTATTTGATATATATATATGATCCAAGAAATTGGGATGCCCGTGATTCTAAATTAATAGATATTCCTGTGAAAGAGGTCCTAAAAGAGATTTATCAACAATAAAAATAAATTCTCTATAAGATTTTGGTCATCATTTTACACAAGATATTTGTCAAATGGAATGAGGTGTGATCGAGATTGACTTGTATATTCAAAAGAATTTGACAAGATGTTTTGTTTTTCTTGCAAGATTTTTAAAAAGGGTATAGGAAAATGTGTTTTGATCAATGAAAGTTTTAGGAACTAGACACATCTCAGTGTTAGATTTAAAGAGCATAAAACGGGTGTAGATCATATGACTAATATGAGAAAGGGGCCCAATTTAAGATATCGCACATGACCCCATATTTTATTGGAACGGCCTTGGCTCTGAGCAAGGCGATGGAGCAGGATGACATGTTGAGAAGAATTGAAATGGAGTTTCAGAGCATGGCGAAGGAGAAAGAAAACATTGTCATGTCGTTGAACAACACAATTGAACAACTAAAAAAATAAAAATAAAATACGCGGATCATAGATTTTTCCCTAGAGGTGGTTGGTGAATCCTAACGACCTGTTATTATAGAGGAACGTTGTGCTGTGTGCACCATGCAAGGTGCATGTGCACAGTTCCAATTCATAATTTCTATACTGTAGATTCATAATTTTTAAATCGTAGATTCAAAATTTAAATACAGTAGATTCATAATTTCTATACAGTAGATTCATAATTTCTATACTGTAGATTCATAATATCTGTACTGTAATTGTGAATACAGAGTTCAACAATTGAGAATATGAACATCGAAAATTATGAACATATAACTCTATAATTATGAATATATATTTCTAAAATTATGAACATATAGCTCTATCACATGTTCACAAATCTAATACTGTAGATTCATAATTTCTATACTGTAAATTCATAATTTAAACACAGTTGATTCATAATTTGCGAAGAGAGAATGAAATGTTTGAATGCGAAGATATAATTTCTAAACGGCAATGATAAATGAATTTGCCTATTATAGGTTACTAACCTATTTTTTGAGCTTTAATAGACTAAAATAACCTGTACGTGTTTCATTCCTTGCCTTTCATGAAGCAGATTGCAATAGTTTGTGCAAAGAATCTGATGGCCGAAAGGGCACAAGGGAGGAAACTAAAACTATTGATTTTGCCTCAGTCAAGAATTGAAGCACATATTGCATTCCCAGCCATTCGCGTTAGTTTCATATACATCCCTGACAGCTTGAACTTTCCTCCATAGCTGCCATTTTTAGTGCAGAGATAGATTTCAGCAGTTAGCTCTCTTGTCGACGATGCGATAGCCTCGTTTTCTTGGAATTTTATTTCAGGTTCCAGAAATGCAGAAATGCAAGCCAAGAAGGTGAAAAGGTCACTGCAGCAGGTGGCGTTGTTGATTGGACACCTTTTCCGGCGCGGGCGGAGATGGATTTTGCGAGTCCTCGTGGACTTCGTTGGGGGTAAGACCCTAGCCTAAGTCACATTAACAGATAAGAAAATGCATCAGGAAAACAAAAAGGGACGGAGAATACTAAAAAGCACGGAGAAAAAGGGACCGTATGTCAAATTAAAATTTATTTATTATTATGAAACAATTAAAACTTGATTTGTTGGGCTTCTCCCTAAGGAGAAACAACCTCAAAAAATCAGAATATGCCATTCATTGCAATGCACACACGGTATTCTTTAGTAAAAGGCGAAAGAATAGTTCGCTTTGTGTTCACTGCATGGCTGCTTGAGTAAAGCATTGTTGTGGCATCTATTTATAAGGAGCCTGGCTACTAGTGTTTATGTTGTTTATCCGATGTGGGAGCGGTAACACTACTTTAGCCCAGCTTCTTTTCTATGTTTCTACTGCATCCTCTGACAGCAGACAACGCCACTACCTCCATCGCCGGCGACAGCTTGAGCTCCGTCGACAATGATTCAAGGACATGTCCTAGTCAACCACATGTAATTTATTAATTTTAATTTTATCATCAGGGTCTCTGGTTTATTCCCAGTCCTTAGTTTCCTTCTTTTTTAATTGTATCTATTAATTTACTGCTTTTTTATTGCTGAAATCTATTCTTCTTCATGGAGAGATATTGCTTGCAACAATGTCTGAAGTAATCTATCTGGGGTTCTTTTTCTCCGGATATGATTTTTACATCAGCACTGATGATATGGAAAGTATAATTGGCAGTGAATCTCCATTGCTACTTGTGCTTTCTGGAAGCATGAAACCTGGGTTCTAAAGTTGAGAATTTATCAAGTTGTTTTTTTCTCTCTCAAATATATATGTGGACTGGGTTCATTGCCATTAGAGTTTATTGTCTCCAATGTTTACCTGCCAACTGAATCCCAAAGCTCTCCAGAGAATAGCCAGACAACCGCCGCAGTTGGTGAAGACATTGTGCTCTTTTCAGAATGAGCACCACATGTTTGATAGAAGTCCTAGACCAACTCTTAAGTCTATACACCATTCCATGCTTAATTTTATTCACCAGAGCCAATTTGAAGCTCTTAAAGTTTTCAAGAAACAGTTTCAAATGGGTGTCTCAGAGATAGATGAGGTTGCCATTGCGTTAGCTCTCAAGGCATGCAAAGGTGACTTGACATTTGGGTCTAAATTACATAGTCTTACTATAAGAAGTGGATTCTTTTCGTATATTACTGTCCCGAATTCATTGATGAATATGTATTGCAAATCTGGACAGTTCAGTCATGCCATACTTGTTTTTGAGGACATGGAGAATCCTGATACTGTTTCATATAATACGGTGCTTTCTGGGTGTGAAAATGGAGGAGATGCATTGTGTTTTGCACATAGAATGCATGCACTTGGGATTACTTTTGATGCAGTGAGTTATACAACAGCTCTCTCTCATTGTACGACTCAAGAAATGTTCATATATTTGGAAGTCATAGATCAGTTGCATTCTTGTGTAATGAAGTCCGGATTGGAATTTGAGGTTTTTATTGGGAATGCACTTGTGACTATGTATTTGAAGTTGGGGAAAATTGTAGGAGCTGAAAGAGTATTTTGTGAAATGCCAAGTAAAGACTTGGTTTCATGGAATGCCCTCCTCTCAGGGTATGCACAGGAAGGGAGTTATGCATTGGAAGCTATTTTGGGGTTCATTGAAATGGTAAGGGAAGGCATGAAACCAGATCATGTGTCATTAACTAGTGCAGTTTCAGCTTGTGGTCAGCAAAGAGATTTGGAATTTGGGAAGCAGATACATGGTTTTGATATGTTTGGCCGTGCAGGGCGGCTAAACGAGGCTGAACAATTCATGTCCCAAATTCCAGGAGGACCAGGAATCTCTGTACTTCAAAGCCTGCTTGGTTCTTGTAGGACTCATGGCAATGTAGAGATGGCTAAGAGGGTAGGCGAAGCCTTGATCGCTTTGGAACCCGAGCTTTCAGGTTCGTACGTGTTGATGTTGAATTTGTATGCTGAGAAGGGGCAGTGGGAGAAGGTAGCAAACATCAGAAAGGGAGTGAAGAAAGAGGTAGCATTTAGTTGGGTTGATGTCGGAAGCATTGATGATTCTCTGAATCTGCATGGGGTGGCTTGGATCAGAGATGAAACATTTAGTGGAAGATGAAGATGATAGATACAACAGGTTCGTAGCATGTGGTCATATATGAGAGTAGTGCTCTATCTCTACACCCACCTGGTACGAGCCATCTAATGCTTACTTGTGTATATATAGACCGTACAATTAGAACAGCCGCTGCTTTTGTTTTGTAACTTTTTTCTTCATATTAAATGGAAGAAATAATTATTCTTTATTCAATAAACGTTTTCTCTATTAGTTGTGTTCATTTAGTGAAGTTTATGGCATCCTATTATATCACTCCCTCCCCCTTATTTTATTAGTCTAATTTACTATTCATTTATGAAGTCACTTAATTTTCTTTTTATATTTAATAATTTTTTAATATAATTTTTAAATATATAAATTTTATATACTACTATTAAACTTATTATTATGAAAACTTTAAATTATAAATAACTTCAATTAAGAACCAAACGTTACAACTTAATAATGACCACTACGGTGGCCATGCAATAATCATCGCCATCTAAATAGCGCAACAATTTGTCTCTTTATAAATATGTCTGATTTCAAAACCTTCAACCCTTGTGCTTAGGTTCTTTGATCGCGTTAATAAGATGGAGGCCAAATTTTGCAATATCACGATCATTTTGTGCTTATGCTATAATTCTTGATTGTTCTATGTTTAAGGGTATCTATTAACCACTATAAAAATTTTATACGGAGCACTATTTATAGAAAACCTTTTTTCATTTGATGAGGATCTTGGATCGCTTGTTGCACTATGCCACTATCATATTAGATTGAACGGTAGCTTAATGACAGTTGTTATACAGTGAACCATTGTCCACACATCGCTTTGTGGACCATGATCATCGAATGAAATTGTAATATAATTAAAATGATACTTTAATTTTACTATAATGAAATTAATGTGTAAAAAATTAAACTAAAAAATAAAGCACAATGTTATCAAATGAAACTGTAATATAATTAAAATGATACTTTAGTATTGTTATAATGAAACTAGTGTGCATGGAAAATGAAACTAAAATCTAGAATCATACAATAATATATATTGTTAAACGACCTGAAGTGTAATTAAAATAATACTTCAATATCACTATAATTAAACTAGTGTATGTTGGTTTAAAAAAAAAAACCTAGTGTATGTGAAAAATAAAATAAAAAAATAGAGCTCAAGCAATGTATATTATCAAATGAAACTATAGTAGAATTAAAATGATACTTTAGTATTGCTATAATGAAACTAGTGCGGAGGGAAAATGAAAGTAAAAAACATTGCAATATTGTCAAATGAAATTGAAGTGTAATTAAAATGATACATAATTCATGGTCCACGACTCCATGTTGCTACATAGACCAGGGTCCACAATACAATTTGCCAAATTAATGTCCAACACGTAAATATTTAAGTTTATAGATAAAACGGTGACTTAAAGTCGGTTACTAGCGTGAGTGGTCGTGAGGAGCGTGAAGAAGAGTGAGGGGAATGACTCACAGTCAAGTAAGGGGCATAGATTCAATCCTGTTGCGAGAAATGACAACCGAAATGGAGAAAGAAGGAATCTGGTGATAGGACAAGGAGCTGGAGCTGGAGGGTTATCGAGTGTGAGGAGCGTGACTTGCACGAGGTGTGGTAAGGATCACCCTCAGACTACTTGTGGAGGAGGACCCGTGACATGTTTCTATTGCGGGAAGCCAGGGCATAGAGTCGCCGTTTGTTGGTATCCAAAGATGGAGAGATCCCATGGTACGACCCAGAGTCAGCCGTCTAGAGGCCAGTTCAACCAGGCACCAAACCGAGGAATGGGTCGTGGGAATCAGTCAGGTGGAGGCCCACACAGAAATGGCAACCAGGGACGCGGGGGATTTCAGCAAGGACGTCCGGGAGGAGCCGGATCAGGGAGGATCATGGTCATGGGACAGACGCAGGCTGAGGGGCGCAATATTGAGAAAGGTAACACTCTACTTTGGAATAAGTGTTACTGATTCTTACGTAGATTCTTGTTCTGTTGTGTGTGCTTAAAAATTTGGTGCAATTTGTGTCTTGTTTAAGACTTTGAGATTTAAGACGTTTAGAAATACTTTTTGGAAAGTACCGGCAAAGAGTGTTAGATATTGGTGAATAAATCGATACACAAAAAATATATAAAATATATATTTGTCCCGAAAAAATGGAATTTAATTTATAGAAAATTAATTCCAACCAATTTTGGTACGAAACCAAAATTACATATTATTTCGATGGTCCGGATTTAATTTCCTAAGATGACATGGATTGATTTTTTTTGTTAAAGTTGGATAGTAGTGTCCTTTTCTATTTTTTTAAGTGTGAACACATGTGTAATCCTTGCTTTAATTGGTTTCCTATTTTTTTGAATCACCACCGTTGCGATTTGGAGCCACGATTTCTTCATCATTGATTGAGTGTTCGCCCACGCAATGCAATCAGTATTTTTTATTTTTTTTCGCTCTTTCTTTTGAATATAATATTGCCTATATTTGGATGGTCGTGTATATGTACAAATGCTTGGATAGTACAATTGTGCCTTCATGTGTGCTGGTTGTGCATCCTAGTGTTGTAAGGTGTGCACCGTAGGCTGGTGAGTTGTGCATTACATCATTAGTGCACATAGTTCACTACATCGTAGGACACTGAGATGTGCACTGTAGGGTTTTTAGGTGGTGTCAGAATGCACAACTAAAGACTTATCGATGCACAACACTCTGTATAAGAATGCACAATATTTTGTGTAGTAATGCACAGATTCTAATAAGACTAATTTACCCATAAATTTATATTTTTTAATATTTTAAAGTAATTTGTTTCCTTAATCCGTGTGATTTGTTCCTTTTAATCTCAGCCATACTTTATTATGATTTAATGGTCTAGATTAATCCTCATGTCCTCACCTAAGGTTAGGTCTTCACTTGATCCTCACCATATATATATATATATATATATATATATATATATATATATATATATATATATATATATATATATATATATATATATATATATATATATATATATATATATATAAACCAACTAGGGATTTATTTTATCAAAATTATCCCACTACAACTAGTACCAAACTAGTACACGAGACTTAATTTCCACGAAATTAATCCCACCACAACTAGTACGAAACTAGTAGTAGGATTTAATCTTTCCGAGATTAATCCCACCACTTGGTCCGAAACCAAGAACAAAATAAAAGCAAGAACGGGTTTCTAACCTGAGGTTTTAACCCAACGCGAAGAAGAAGAAGAAGGAGAAGTCCGAGTTGTGTGTACACACACTCTCCTTAAAACCGATTCGCCGCCTCCCTAGGGTGCTAGGAACATTGTGGCGTTAGTCTCCCAGGATAAAACGGATTACGACTTTGGCGTTCGAGCACTCAAACCAAAAGCCCGGCGAACAAGAACACAAGTTGAGCACTTCGATGTTTTACGGAAGATGTTGGCAGAATTTCTCTTCAAAACAAGGGATGAGAGTAGAGAGAAAATACAAAGGTTTTGAGAGTTTCAATCTAGAATATTATTTTAAAAAAAAAACATTATGCCACCACCATAGCTATTTGTAGGGGAAATATGAATAAATAACATATTCATGGCACATAAACCACTATTAATCCAATTTAAAAATTGAATTAAAACGTTTGAAACGGTCATACTTATTATCGAAATAATATTAACGATCACGAAATTAATATAAAATATTAATTCGTACCAAGCATAATGACCCGTGTTCAAAATACCTGAATGATTGAGAAGTCCGTACGTCCAAAATAATTCCAGCACCATCCAAAAAATTATCATTTCGGTAATGGCCGAGAGGTGCAACATAATGCACCTCTCGAAAGGTGCATAGAAGAACCTAACGAAAGGTGTAAGGAAGCACCTTTTGGAGGTGTTTAAACAATTAGCCGGTAGGCTAATTAAGCACTTTAAGTAGTGCTATTAAGCACTATCAATAGTGCTAAACATGCTTTGGATGTGTAGTGCTTATTAAGCACTATAATTAGTTCTTTAATGAGCACTTTAACAGTGCAAACCGTTTATCATTTCATATTGCTAAATTGCATTTCCGTTAAGCTCAAGCTTAACCTTTTGACTTCTCTCCAATAGGTTTTCTTTGAGAAACAATTTCTCATTCACCTATTATCCATTTTGAGCGTACAATATATCAAAATTTTCATCTCACTTCGAAGAACCCAAATCCACTTTGACCCGACTCAATTCGGAAGTAGACCCTACATATATTTGTACCACAAAATAGTCACTCAAAATGCCATTTTTAGCTAAAAATTCCAACAATTCCCCACATGAATGAAAATTGATTTTCGGGACGAGGAAAAATTGACACGAACATGCTCAACGGTCGATCCCTGCATAGCATAGGTAGGTGTTACCCTTTGAACCTTGCCTTATGAAGATATGTTTACTCTACTGGCTGTATGGTAGAACTTGATGTCTTTCAACCAACTGTCGTTTATGTAGACGATGGCATATCCCACACAGGAACCTTCCAACCTTTGTTCTGTTCTCATGGGTGTGCCCGTTTTGGTCATGGGTCACCTTCCTGGTTCTGCAAGAGTTTCTAAAGAATTGAGCCCGTCAATTCTCCTTTGAAACGACCCCACTTTTCTCTCACATAGGTGATTCTTTTCTGAGTATCCCGCATACTCACACATGTCAACCGACATTCGAATCATTAAAGCATCTGCGTGCTAACCTCGTGCGGGAGTCACTGTTCTCACGAGGAATGGTAGGAGTCCGAGACCCCCACAGTGACACGCTTTGTTCCATAATTTAGTTGTCCCATTGAACCTAGGTGCCAGCTAGGTTGGGTGTCCACTATAGAACTTTTTATTCCATGGGCTTCAACCCCATTCCTCGTGCCAACTTCTCAACAACATCTTTGCTCAACCCTTTGGTTAGCGGATCCGCTATATTGTCCTTTGACTTCACATAGTCAACAGAGACAACACCTGTTGTGAGTAGTTGTTTAATGGTATTATGTCTAGACTTACCATTATACATATGACTTTGTACTCTCCCAATTGTTGCTTGATTATCACAATGCACACTAATTGGAGGTACAGGTCTATCCCAACAAGGAATATCCTCCACAAAATG